GTAGTGGGCGCTATCTGAATGGCCGGCCTCCTCAATGAAGAGGCGGAGGATGGAGGCGATCTGAGAACGCCGAGCCTTGGAGTGACACGAACGCTGGAAGGGACGCCGGATTTTGGTGGAACAACCGTTTGGAACCCCGGGGAGGGTGTGGTCTCAGTGGGGGAGCACGCCCCTGGCGACGGAATGCCGAGGACTGGTTCGCTGGCGGATGAGCCACTCACGCAGGGGGAACAGGAAGAGGATCTACAGGGCGGGACACCTCTGATGCACCCGCCTTCTGTGGACGTATTCGGGTTGGATTGCGACAAGTTCATAGAAGAACAAGGGCGTGTGCCTTGGATGAGGGCATTGAAGGCGTTTCTTGAAGATGGAGCGTTGGCGCTCGATCCGCAATTAAGAGTCAGCGTGCTGAAGATGTCGCCCCACTACCTGATGAGGAACAGACTCCTGATGAGGCTCGTTCACCTGGGGGCGCGTGCTGGCCCAGCGAAGACGATCTGTGTGCCGGCGGTGCCGTTGCCTTTCATCGAGACGGTCCTACACTATTGGCACGACGACATATTTTCGGCTCACTTGGGAAAGACCAAAGCCGCTGACAAGGTGAGGCGGCACGCCTATTGGCACTGGTGGAAGAGAGACGTGGTCGAGTTCGTGCGTGAGTGTTCTATCGGTGGTGGTGGAAAGGGTCATAGGCCTTGGAGTGCGGGGCTGATGCAACGGATGCCAGTTCAGGACTTGTCGGGCCCGTTAGCGTTGCTCGTGGTGGATGCTATCGGCCCCCTGGTCGTGAAACCCCGAGGGAACAAGCATATTCTGGTGTTCGTGGACTATTTTACGCGTGGGTCAAGGCTCGACACGATTTCCTCCGTGAACACGACGATACAGGGTGTTATTTGTCGACATGGCGTACCGGAATGCCTACTGAGTGATCGAGGGTCAAACTTCACGTCGAATCCGGCCAGGTCATTGTACGAAACGCTGGAGATTAAGAAGTTGTATGGGGCACCGTACCACCCGCAGACGCAAGGTCTCGCGATTTTGTTCTTCAGCATCTCAAACACCGCCTGCCCTCGGTCCCACTTGTCCCTTTTGTCCGTCTGCTCCGTCAATCTTTCTTCGGCAGCGTTCCCAGACTTTTGGACAGGGTTCCGGCCCATCTCTTGGAAGTCGATCTCTCGCAGCTCGTACAAGATCGAGGCATAGATCGTGAGATCCTCAATGAATCTGCTGTAGTAGTTGAGGCTACCGAGGAAGGACTGCATTGCTTGCAACGTTCCTGGGAA